CATATTTTAGGAATTTTTTCATTAAATTCCTTTTTAAACTTCATTAACTAATATAATTTTGTACAAATAATTGAATGTTATGCTACTATTTACTAAAATAAAATCTGAAATCCAATAAAAGATAAGTTCTCTATCATTTTTTTCAATTTACAAATGTGATTTTGTCCTCATAATAAGACAATATGGTCATGGCAAGAAACGGGTTAAAGAATTGTAATATTTACTGATAATCTGCCAAATTTCATTAACATATGCCTACTTATTTAAAAGTTATAGCATGAAAACTATAACAAGCATAAAATTGTTATGAGGTTAGTCCCAGGGACTGAGCCGATGCTGAAATAGTTCAACAGTGGTTGTACTTGTAAACAAAGAAAATTAGGGATTTTCACATGAAAACCAACTTTTGGGACAATGTATAATATGCATAATGTGTGATTTTATATTTTGGAATAATTTCTAATCAGAAAAACCTAAATGATTTAGAATTGGTATTCCATTGTTTATCTGTTATCTGTGTTATTTATTTATTCATCATTATTGAAAATGGATTTAATTTACTCAGATGTTTAATATATATAATGTTCTTAGTTTTTGTATGTCTGTTCAACAAATGATGGTGTATTTTGGTATTAATGTTTAAATAGAGGTATTTTTTGGGTTTGTACATAGCTCTCGAGATTTTAATTTTGATTTATGGTTAAACAATGTCATTAGTTAGAAATGTAACTCTATGTAGAAAGGTTGTTAAACTTTTCTTAATTAGCAGCATATTTTAACTTTTTAGGAATTAATTATAAACCAAACTGCACAAACTGAGTGAGCTAGCCAAAAAATTATCATTGTTAATATTACCAACTCAATGGGAAAAGTAACAGTTAAGATTATTTTGATGCAGTAAAATGGCAGTAAATAGTTTCTTAAGATGGCCATGACAAGCACACGTCACAAAAACAAACAAATGATGCTGTGTAATGATGTGATCACTTGACCAATTTGTTTCACTTTTAGAGTGATTACATACATGTATGTATATATTTAATGGTAAATAAGATAATAAGCAGTGATTTAGAGCTTACGAAGACTCACAGACTTTCAACTTGTTCTCATGAGAATGATAAAAGCATTAGAATTGTATTATATTATCATACAATGAGTAGTTTCTGCATAGTCATTCAGGTAAAACTTTTTGCATTTTCTAGATGTTAATGGTAAGGTCATCCATCTGGTTCAGCGTCCACCACCCCTTGTATCTCCCACTACTGCATCCTCTACTTCTAGCAACACCACTACTACTTCATCATCCAGTTCTTCTCGTCCTAATGGAGGACAGTATCACAATCATCATCATCACCACAGGGATGGGGGTAGTTTTCTTTTGGGTGCTTTCACAATCCCACAGGATTTGGTTGATCCTACAGATGTACAGGTATTATAAAATCTTGGATCAAAAAGTATTACAGGCATTATAAACAGTTGAAATTTGGCTGTAAAATAACTTTTAAAACTAAAAACGATTTAATTAATTAATTTCAATACTCTTGATTTAGATATTCATCAAATCAATAAATATTATCATTCTAATATTTAAGTACAGACCATTTATTTTCTTTCATTTATATGATAAAAGTTAAAGAGCTGTGTGTTTCAAAGCAAAGATAAGCAATATGTTTTAATAAATATTAGAAAATTATAGCTTGAAAACTTAAAAGTAATTTATTATCATTATTTAGCAAATTGTGCAAGATGTTGTGTCAGGAATGGGAGAAATAGGAAGAAATGCTACTGTCATGTCTCGTACTTCAGTAAGTAGCAAGTAATGAAATAAGTTTAATTATCTTGATTAATGTATAGTATTTGAATTCAGCACTGTGCTTCTGAAAGTATGTTCTTTTTACTTTGATTTATTAACCCTTCCATTACGAGCTGGGTGGATTCCTCCCAGCCCGT